GTTCAAACTCCGCAGCTACTCCATGGGAGAAAGTTGTAGCCATCTGCTTCCGTAAACATACCTCCTTGGCGACTCTCTGGGGGCAGTTCTGCCCTGTTCTATAGGATTGCTGTGAGTGAGAAAAGGGTTGACAGCAATGGGTTTGGCTTTTGGTCTTGGATGGGACCATGGATGTATGTGTGGTTGGACGTCACCTGAACGACGTCAAACGACGTGTGTATGTGTCATTCCATCGTGCTTGGAATCACCACAAATCAGGGACCAACTCGATGGCCACTGACAACAATTTTGGTGGAAACGGTTGCAACGAGGACATGAGGCTGCATCTCTGCTCCCGTGTCACTGACGCGTCCCCTTCTGCCTCCCTCAGCCCCTTTATTCCCTTCCCCCTGGGGTTTTCTGACAAAAGGACCCCAAGCAGCTTGTTTGGGGCTTGAGAGTTGAATGGGGTATCCTCTTACCTGTAACGTTGACCTCCAAGAGGTTGCTGAGGACTGACCACACGTATGGAAGCTTAGAGCGAGACCCGTAACATTGGTAGGTCCCTTTGTCTGCGATGGAGAAATTAATCGAAAGTGACATGTCGACCTTCCAAGTCTCCCTGATGTCACCATCCTTAGACAGAGCTATTCTGTCTAAACCAGCCGCGAAGGAGCACTCAAGGGTCACGTTCCTTCCTATGCTCGTCCTAGGCCAGGCAGAGAGGGACAACTTCTCCTTGAAAACGTCTAGAAAAGAACATTTCAGGTTTGGAAGGGAGATCCCCACTAGTTCAAGGTTTCTCAGCTCCGGCACTATTAATATCTGGGGCAGGTGATTTGTTGTTGTAGGGTCCTTGGGTGGCACACATGGTTCATGAAGCTCTTGGCCACTAGGCGAAAGCTTGGTGGTTCGAACCCATCCTCAGGTTCTTTGGAAGGAAGGCCCAGTGACCTGCTGGCGAGGGTCCCTGTGGAGCAGTTCTATTCTGCACACATGGGGTGCCCGTGAGTCGGAAGTGGCACTTGGCTTGACAGCAGCTCCCAGTAACAACAATACAATTTGTTGTCTTTGGAGGGCTGCCATGACAAAACATCACAGCGCTGGGGGTCCTATAAGCACAGACATGTGTTCTCTCAGAGCTCTGGAACTAGAAGTCTGTGTTCAGGATGTTGGCAGGCCGTGATCTCTCAGAAGCTCTAGGGGAGGTCCTTCCTTGTCTCTCTACTGCTGGTGCCCCACGTGTCCTTGGCTGCAGCTGTAGCCTGACTCCACCATCACGTGGCCTTCTTCCCTCGGTCGGTCTCTCTGTGTCTCTTCTCTTCTTATAAGGGCACCACCCAGATAGGAGCTCTGGTGGCATAGTGCCTAAGACACTTGACTGCTAACCAGAAGGCTGGTGGTTCAAACCCACCAGCCACTCCTCGGAAGGAAGATTGGGCAATCTGGTCCCATAGTAATACCGCCTCGGAAACCCAAGGAGAGGTGACTATGAGTCAGATTTGACTCGATGGCAGTGAGTTTGGTTTTTGTGGTTTTACTCAGATGGGGTTGTTGTTAGATGCTGTCAAGTTCATTGCCAACTCAGCAGCCCCATGTGACAGAGTGGAATGGCCCCACAGGGGTTTCTTAGCTGTCTTCTTTAGTCAAGGCAAGCAGCCGTGAGCTGCTATGTGGGTTCAAACCGCTAACTTTGGGTTAATAGATGAGTGCTTGACTGTTGTTCCATGAAGGCTCCTTCCTTGGGATTAGGATCTGTTAACTTAGCTGACAACATCTTCAAAGACCCTATTCCCAAACAAGATCAGAGCCAGTGACACCACTGTTAGGACTTCAACATAGTTTTTGGGGTCACAATTCACCCCATAACTGGGGCATCCTGGCATTGTAGGATGTGTAGCAACAACTCTTCCCTCTACCTGCGAGAAGCTGGCAGCACCCCTAGCTCCCAGTGGTGACGACCAACATCTCCAGGTGTTGCTGGATGTTCCCTGGTGAGCAAAATCACCCCACCTAAGGATTCTACACTATTCTCCCATGCTCACAATTCGGGATGAAGAGCAAAAATGAGGTGACTGGAATCCCACAATTTAGTTACTTAACAAATGTGTAGCGTCGTGCTAGGTGCCAGGCACTGTTTGTAGTATTAATGTGTTTAATTTTCATAATTCCTCAAGAACTTACAAATAGTGGAACAAAACTCAAAATCATAAAAAAAAAAAAAAAAAAAAGACCAGGTTTACTGGTCTGATAGAGCCTGGTAACACCCTTGAACGTTATGGAATTCATTCCAGGTCTGGAATTGAACTTATTCCCATGGTTTCTAGCCAAACAATAGCCAGGCACATGGGATTAGCATTTACATCAGGTAGATACACTCCTTAAAACGATCAGTCATGGGAGACCAGACGGGCAATGTTTGCACAGGGAGATAGCTCAGGGGGCAGGGGTGCCTGGGAGGTAAGGACACAGGAAAGAGGTAACTACAGGGAGGAAGTGGGAAGAGAGCTGTTATACTGTGGGGAATTGCAGTCAATGTCACGAGACAAAGTGTGTGTGAACTGCTGTATGGAAAATAAATTTGCTCTGTAAACTTTCACCCAAATTGCAATAAAAATTACAAAAAGAAAAGAACTTCCATATAGAATTACCTCCTGACTCAACAGTTTCTCTCCTAGATAGGTACCCAGAAGAAATAAAACCAGGCACTCCACCAATGTTCATTGCAACATTATTCACAGTAGCCAAAAGGTGGAAACAACCCTAGTGTCCATCAACAGATAATAGAGAAACAAAATATAGCCTATCTACACAATGGAATATTATTCAGTCATGAAAAGGAATGCAGTTCTGATAGGTGCTACAACATGGACGGACCTTGGAAACACTATGCTAACTGAAAAGAGCAAGACACAAAAGAACAAATAGTCTAAGATTTCATATAAATGGATTTATATGAAAAACAGGGAATAGGCAAATTCATAGACAGAGAGTGGAGGTTACCAGAGGCTGAGGGTGGGTGGGTGATGGGGGTGCCCTTGTTTAATGGGTACAGCATTTCTGGAAATAGATAGAGGTGATGGTTACACAATGTGGTGGGCGTGCTTAATGCCACCGAGCTGTACACTCAGGAAGGTTTAAAAGCATAGCTGGAATGGCCCACCACTTGATAGTGTTACTGAATCGGACATGGAGAAGTTGGGGAGA